TACTGATCTGCATGATTTCAAAAAAATCATGTTTTGATTATAATATAAAGGATAATTTGAAAAGCAATTTATAATAAAATGTGTATTAAAATATGTAAATACTTGAGCACACTGCATTAGATGTCACAGTGAGTTAGTAAAATGCTTATGCTGGCACATAAAATCACTGTGAATGTGATAGCTGAACAAGCTGATTGATATATGATATTGGTGATGCACATGCCAAAGTGGCATTGACATGATTTTCCAAAATGACAAACAACTCTTAGTAAATTTCTGAACAAAACAAATAGATTTATAGTACGGCTGCATTATAGAATATTTGGAATACATTAACACTGTGGAAAAAATACATTTTGTTTACATGTTAGATTCCAGCCTTAGATATGTTTTCAATGGAATCTTTGAAAATTATCCAGAACATGTGACAATTCTTTGTTCTACAGGACTATTCCCTCCTTTGCTGGACCTCTCGTATCCATGGCGCTTGCCCATTAAATGCTGGCAGAGCATCGGCACCTTCAGTCCCCAAAATGCCGCCATAAACATACAAAGGGCTCTCAAGGGGGCAGTGCTGCTGCCAGTGAGAACCACTGATTTCCAAGAATCCATCTCATTAATCTACCATATGGCTGTATTGCTCATGGAAATTTAAAACCAGAGTAACTTAAGTGTATTTGGTCCTAAACTATGATATGTTTTGAATAATTAGGACAATTGAATAATTATGGACAAAGTTGATTTGTTCAAATGCTTCATGATTTTATTATAATTCATGTAAGCAGATATATGATTAATATTTTAAGTTCCCAACATTCTACATTTTCTTTATTTTTTTCCTGCTCATCCCATCTAGTAAGTCAGGAACATAAAACTTTCCTTAATGTTATCATTTGCTTAGTTGACAGTCATACAATGTAATTTGTCCCTTTGAAAAAAACATTTTTAAAATTAGGTAATATAGTAATGTTATAGAAACTTTGTAAAATGAAGACAAAATTTCCCATAATCATTCCATCCTAAACAATTGTTAATATTTTTCAGTGTTTTATACTTTATATGCGTATTTTGACAAAAAAGTTTTATATCTTTTCATAATGTGGCATAAATTTTTTGTTGTTTATATAGCTTCAAAACTATTAGGTTAAATTACTGCATTTTGTTCCTTTCGATTCTACAATTCAATCATTTTCCTACCTTTAGATTGGTCACATTATAAGAATTATTATATATAATATATATGTGTATGCATATATAATCTTTACTGATAGATCTGTTTCAATATATCTTTCCTTTAGAATAGATTCTTAGAAGTGGGGTCACTTACTGGGTCAATGGACTCAGATATTTTTGTAACTTGTTAAATTTGCCAAGTTGACTAAAAAATAAAGCTGATCCACTTATATTACTATCAGCATATCTGAGTTGTCAGTATATCAAAGTATCAGTTTCACCTAATTCTTGGCTGCATCAGTAATTACTTTAAAATTATTTACTTTATGTTAACCTGATTAGCAGTGACACTGAGCATTTTTTACCCTTGTGAATTATTTCTATTTTCTTTTCTGTAAAATGTATGGCCTGTCTTTTAACTATTGATGTGTTGGGTCCTTGCTGTTTATTTCCCGCCCCTTTTCATTTTGAGTCAAGTCTTTTAAATAAGTAAAACATGACTGTTTCTTCTAGTCATTTTTGTGGTAAATATATTTCTTTGCCATTTCTTATTTTATTTTGATTATTTTATTTTAATAGTATAGAAAATACTATGTGTTATCAAAGAAAGAACATAAGATAGAGAGTCAAAAATCAGGGTTCTGGACAGAGATACTTATAGTACTTGTTATATTTGACAAAGGACTCATATCCAGAACATATGTGAGAATGCTTACAAATCAATAAGAAAAAGACAGACAACCCAGTTTCAAAAAATGGGGAAAAGCCCTAAACTGGCACTTCACAAAAGATACTCAGATATCTAAACCATTTGGCAGTATGTATGCTGAATGAATGCAAACTGATTTTATATTACCTGCGTAAAACCTATTTAAAAATGTTTATTTTTGGAAAGATATATTTCATCGTAAAGCCAAATTTATATCATTCAGAGTATAGGTGCTATATTTGTTAGTGTGACCAGTTCAGATTTTACCGTACTTCTGTAGGAGAGAGGTCAGTTTCTTTTTGCTTTATCTTGCCGTTTAATAGGAAATTATTTTTGCAGGTTTCTTGCCTGTTGAATATGATGTTAATTTTTACTGTCCAGCAGTTACATATTATCTAGGAAAAAATGCCTTATTGGAGATCAGTAATCTCTATAGATCTTAGTGACTTTAAGCAGGATTGAGGAATATCTTGGCTTTCAGTGACTCCATCAAGGTTATGAGAGAATAGGAGAAAAAAAGGAAAGAAAATCAGAAATGCAAGGATGAAAATGTTGCAAGTATCACAGAGAAGTGTTAAAAAAAATCCCATATAAATCCCACAAGTACATGTGGTTGTTTTTCCTATTCTGTACTCCAGAATATAATATGGATTTTTTTTTTTTTTTTTTGGAGATGGAATCTCACTCTTATGCCCAGACTGGATTGAATTTTTCGTAGAGACAGGGTTTCACCCTGTTGGCCAGGCTGGTCTCGAACTCCTGACCTCAAGTAATTCGCCCACCTCGGCCTCCCAGAGTGGTGGGATTACAGGTGTGAGCTGCTGTGCCTGACCATAATACAGATTATTTTTATCCTTACAAATGAAACAATTCTAAGAAATTCTTTCCTGCCTTGTGATGAAGGTCTGTCTGTTTGGGATATGTATATCTCACCTAATTATTGTGCAAGCCTCCAAGTGTTAGTATCTGTCCCTGGTTACCTCTTTTGTGCTTGATTATTCCCATCTTACCTAATTCACTAAAAATTATAGGCATAATTCTGTTTATTTTCATGGACAGCTTTTCTTATAATTACCCCTTTTAGATTTCTTGACAGCCCTTTTAATGATGTAGAACATTTCAGTTCTTCCTGGCAGAAATAACTTTTTCAAGCCCCATTTGCCAACTTCCGTCTCACACATACACTCCTTTCTCTTCCTTATTGAGTGCAGGTTGAGTATCCCTTATCTGAAATACTTAGTCCAGAAGTATTTCAGATTTTGGGTTTTTTCAGATTTTGGAATATTTCCATTAATACTTACTGGTTCAGCATCCCTAATGCAAAAATGCAAAATCTGAAATGCTCCAATGAGCATTCCTTTGATGCTTAAAAAGTTTCAGATTTCAGATTTTTGGATTAGGGATACTCAACCTGTAATAATTGTTCATACCAGGTAGAGATACACTGATCAACCTGCCATTACTCTTTATAACTTATTTCCTCTTGACTACTTACCTAACCCTCAGTGTATATACTTTTTTTGAGATAAATTTATACCCCAGGCACATTTTTTCATTGTAAATCTCAGGGGTTCCATATTTCCCTTCCCTACAGGCCTAAAATTCTGCTTTTCCTTATTTACGATACTGTGTAACGTAATTGAGTAATCTTCCAGCTGGATAGTCTTTCTGCGTTTGGAAACTCTCTTCTGAGAACTGTCATCCCTTGAATTTGAATGTTTGTGATACATTCAAATCTTAATTTACCTATATTCTACTATCATAATCTTTTTTTCTGACATGTATTTCAATATTTCTTATTCAAGAAGACACAAATACATACACACCCATGCACACCTCACATCCCAGGCTGGGACATTAGCCTTTTCAGATATATTAAATTCAAGACACAAGATACTCTTTCCTGTTTTTTTTTTTTTTTTTTTTTTTTTTTTTTTGAGACAGAGTTTACTTTGTCGCCCAGGCTAGAGTGCAGTGGTGCGATCTCGGCTCACTGCAACCTCTGCCTCCTGGGTTCAAGTGATTCTTGTGCCTCAGCCTCCTGAGGAGCTGGGACTATAGGTGTGAGCCCCCACACCCAGCCAATTTTTTATTTTTAGTAGAGATAGGGTTTTACCATGTTGTCCAGGCTGGTCTCGAACTCCTGGCCTCAAGTGATCCACCTGCCTCAGCCTCACAAACTGCTGGGATTACAGGGGTATGTCATCATACCTGGCCTCTAGCCTCTAATGAGACAGATAGTCTATTCATAATACTATTACTCTCTTTTTAGTATTTTCATAGAATGTGAATTATTTACTTTCTGCAAGAACTTAAATATACATTCATGTAGGAGGGCAGAAAATTTGTATTTTAAAATTTTGAACACATTTACTATTGCAAAATAATTTATGGTAAGTTTAGTTTAATTTGCACCAACAACAGATGATAATATCTTGCACTTTATTTACTTTTATGAAAAATTTTATTGCTGCAAACCCTCCAGTGAAAACAATTAGTTGCCAGTTTTAAATTTTAGACCAGCTTGGTTGGGCGTGGTGGCTCATGCCTGTAATCCCACCACTTTGGGAGACCAAAGCCGGCAGATCATTTGAGGTTAGGAGTTTGAGACCAGCCTGGCTAACATGGTGAAACCCTGTCTCTGTTGAAAATAGAAAAATTAGCTGGGTGTGGTGGTGCATGCCTGTAGTCCAAGCTACTTGGGAGGCTGAGGCAGGAGAATCGCTTGAACCCAGGAGGCGGAGGTTGCAGTGAGCCAACACCGTGCCACCGCACTCCAGCCTGGGTGACAGGCCGAGACTCTGTCTCAAAAATAAATAAATAAATAAATAAAAATTTAGTCCAGCTTTTCTCTGCTACTTACCTCTTCTTTTACCAGATGTATTTGGAGAATTTAAACTACTTTTATTCTAAGTAAAAACTTAATGAGAAAGAAAAGTGGATTCTAAAATCCAATATAAATTGCTTTTGTGTGATCTGTAATTTTGTATTAACCATGGCACACTCTTTTGAAGGGATAATTGAGAATTGACTTATTAATAAAGACAGGGAGAGAAAATGTCATGTCATAATGTATAAATGGAGATTTTGATGTTCAGTTCATCTATGTTTTGTTTAGATGTCCCTGGTAGATTTGGGAAAGAAGCTTTTAGAAGCGGCACGAGCAGGTCAAGATGATGAAGTTCGTATTTTGATGGCAAATGGAGCTCCTTTTACTACAGACTGGGTAAAGAATGATTTTAATGTTGTGTGTTTTTTTTCCTTCTCATTTTTGAGTTTTTGCAGAGAAAAATGTAGTCAGGATTGTGTTTACAAGTGATAAAAATTATTTTTTTTTGCAAATTCGTTTATTATTTTTGAATTATAACTGTCCTAAAAGAAGTGGTTTATATTATTTTCTTTGATACTGGATAACCTTATCCAAATATTTCATCCACAAAGATTTTTTCTTTCAAACTTTGGAGTGCATTAATGTGGCATGAATATAAACATGTGTCTGCTTGGGATTTAATTTAAAGGCCTTATAAATAGCACAGGTAGAATTTATAATTCAGAAAGATACTGATAAAGATTGGCATTAGTGTTACAGTCACTCCTAAAAGAAAAACGAGTTTATGTTTCAATTAGTACTTGTAAGACTATTGCGAACATGATCAAAGAGGAAGAAAGGAATGGGAATGAGATCTTGACAACTATAGAAAGAAGGCAGTTGTGGGGAGGGCAAAAAAACATAACTCTTTAATTCTGGGGGCAAATAAAAAAGCATTGTATTGGGGATATGGAATGCTAGGAATCTGAATTAGCCCTCCCGTTGGTAACAACTAAAAATTCCAGATTATTGGTTTTGTTGTTTTCGCCTTCCTTTCTCTTGTTATTTTTACATTTTTCATGAAAAACAAAACAAAATTTTTTATTATAGAAAATTTCAAATATATATCAATTCCTGTAATACTCTTTACCCAACTTCAAAAATTATCAAATCATGATAAATCTTGTTTCCTCTATAACTCCGTCTACTGTATTATTTTTTGTTCTGTGTTATTTTAAAGCAAATTCCAGGGACCATATCATTTTATCCATAAATGTTTCAACTTGTATCTTTAAAGAATAAAGACTTTTTGATTAAATATGTTAAAGAAAATCTTCTTAAGTACACTGCTGAGTTAGAAAGAAAGAGCTAATCAACCTGAAAAACCAAGTGAAGGCTAAAACCCAGAGAAATTTTACCTAGAGAACATTAGGTGAACTCACACTTGTCTGGTGGGTTTTCCACCTCACTGACTTGGGGTACTAAAGATAAAGACCTGAGACTATTCATGGAGAGAAGTCTGATAGGAGATCTCTTCTCATAATTCTGGAATTCCAAAGAGCTGCACCTTCAGTGTAAGGTTAAGCAGGAATACCCTGTCCCTCCTCCTATCTGCTCCTGCCCTTGTCCCTGTTGCCATGATGCCGCAGAGATAATAAGCTGATGTGAACCAAGATATCAAATGGAGAGAGGAAAAAAATCTGATGGTGAGAATTTGGAATCACAAGGCATCCTTTGTACACACTTGCAGCCTGAACTCATAAATACTTGTGTAGTCTAAAAAACTGTAAACTGAGAAATGAGTTTGAAGTGATCTTTGGACTAGGGATTACCCCAGGTTCCTGACAGAAGCAGATGAGTATCCTCTCTGGAGGAACCTGGCTTCATCCCAGGCTTCATATCCACAAATGAAATTCAAAGGAAAGTGAACAGTCAGAAATAACTAAACACATGGACACATGCCAGTTTGAACAGTAACCTGCTAAAACAACTGTCAACAGAAGCAGACCTATAAGGACTTGAGATAAAATTTTAGTAACAGATTAGAAACTGCTAAAGAGAAAATTAATAAACTGAAAGGTATGAAAAAAGATGATCCAGACTATATCACAGATAAAAATAGATAGAAAATGTAAAAGAGATGTTAGGAATCATGAAGGATCATGTGAGAAAGTCTAATATCTGATCATAGATCCACAGAAAGAGCAAAAATAGGGATGAACTAATTCAAAGAGGTAATTGCTGATAATCTTCCAGAACTGATGAAAGATGGCAGCCCACAGATTTGAGTAGCCTAAGAAATCTCCAGCAGAATCAATTTAAAAACTAATCCATATCTAGATACATCATAGTGATGCTGTAGTACCTCAAGACAAAAAGATCTTTTTTTGTTTTTGAGATGGAGTCTCGTACTGTTGCCTGGGCTGGAGTGAAATGGTGCAATCTCAGCTCACTGCAACCTCCGCCTCCCGGGTTGAAGTGATTCTCCTGCCTCAGCCTCCCAAGTAGCTGGAATTACAGGCACCTGCTACCATGCCTGGCTAATTTTTTGTATTTTTAGTAGAGTTGGGGTTTCAATATGTTGGCCAGCTGGTCTTGAACTCCTGACCCCGTGATCCACCTGCCTTGGCCTCCCAAAGCCAAAAAGATCTTAAGAAGGATTATTATCCATAATACATAAGGAATTCCCATGGGTTAGCAATAAAAAGATAAGGCAATAGAAGACTGACTTTATATGGTACTTTATCAAGGAGAAAGTTTGATTAATAAACATGAAAAGATACTCAGCTACATTAAGATTGAGGCAAATGCAGAGGAAAATCATGAAAAACTATTATATATCCACCAGATTAGCAAAAACAGTTGATCAGTACCAAGGCTTGGTGAGGAGATGGTGGGAACTCTCACATATTTTTGGTGGAAGTGTGGAATTGGTATAATCGTTTTGGAAGACAGTTTGGCAGCACATAGTAAATTTGAAGATGTACATACTGTATGATGTAGTAGTTGGGCTTCTAAGACTATTCCCAAGAGAAATGTGTTCATGTGCCTGAAACATATACAAGACTTCTGTATTTAGCAGCAACATTATTCATAATAACACAAAAACTGGAAACAACCCAAATATTCATCAATATTGGTTAGATTAATTGTGGCTTACTCATTCAATGGAATATTATAGAACACAGAAAATTCGTAAGCTATACTTATATTTATTAACATGGTGAATCTCATGAATATAATATTGAGCAAAAGAAGGCAAGTCACAGAGAAATACATGCAGTATAATTCTGGAGGCTGAGATGGAAGATCGCTTGAGCCCAGGAGTTAGAGGTTACAGTGAGCTACGATTGCTCCACTGCACTCTAGCCTGGGCGACAGAGCAAGAACCTGTCTCTAAAAAAATGCATTAAAAAAAAAACCCCAAAAGCTACAAAAACTACATGGCCAGGTGTGGTGGCTCATATCCATAATCCCAGCACTTTGGGAGGCTGAGGGAGGAGGATCGCTAGAGCTCAGGAGTTTGAAGATACAGTGAGCTGTGATCACCCCACTATATTCCAGCCTGAGTGACAGAGTGAGACCCTGTCTCAGAAAACAAAACAAAACCAAAAAACCTGCGTATATGTATATATATTTTGCATCAATAACCAAGAAGGGAAAGTCTCAGAAGACAAAAATAAAAAAGTAGATCCTAATGTCAAACTGAGCAAAACTCCTGGTTGCTAAATTGGCTGTTGAGATATTTTCATTAAATACTGATATTTAAGAGTATAGAAAAGGTTAAAGAAAAAGTGACAAAGCATGGAGAAAGAAAGGATTGTTTAAGGAATTTATTTGATCTGCTGGGATGACCTTCCCTTGAAAATGTAAGGTTTAGCTGGGTTCATTGGTGTGTGCCTGTAGTCCCAGCTACTCTGGAGGCTGAGGTGGGCAGATTGCTTGAGCCCAGCAGTTCAGAGCTGTAGTGTGTGATAATTGTACCTGTGAATAGCCATTGCACCCCAGCCTGGGCAACACAGTGAAGCCCTGTCTCTAATTAAGCAAACAACAATCAATCAAACAAACAAATAAACAAAAAAAATATATATATAGAGAGAGAGATAGGACTAGGGACTTTTATACATATATCCCACTTAATCTCTTCATAACATAGTGAACTTTTTTTTTTGAGATAGAGTCTCGCTCTGTCACCCAGGCTGGAGTGCAGTGGCGCAATCTTGGCTCACTGCAACCTCTGCCTCCCGGGTTCAAGTGGTTCTCCTGCCTCAGCCTCCTGAGTAGCTGGGATTACAGGCACATGCTACCATGCCCGGCTAATTTCTGTGGTTTTAGCAGAGATGGGGTTTCACCATGTTGGCCAGGCTGGTCTTGAACTCCTGACCTCAAGTGATCCACCTGCCTTGGCCTCCCAAAGTACTGGGATTACAGGTGTGAGCCACCATGTCTGGCCACTGTCTCTTAATTTCTGATGAAATTAATTTTGTTCAGACAGTTTATCTGATAAAAAATAATGAAGAAAGAAAATTTGAATTAAAGGAAATACTGGATGTTTTTCTTCATTGAGAGTGGGAATTCTTCAAGGCATCTGTGAAGAGGATGTGATAAGCATGAATCTAGTCATGTCTTTTGAGTTTTGAGTTACTATGTAAACAAATAATATAAAGAAAATCTTTACTATATAAACAGAAGTGTACTAACAATACTGTAAATGTGGATTTTTTTTTTTTTCTGTGGTACAGTTGGGAACTTCTCCACTTCATCTAGCAGCACAGTATGGTCATTATTCCACCACAGAGGTACTGCTCCGAGCTGGTGTAAGCAGAGATGCCAGAACCAAAGTGGACCGAACACCATTACATATGGCAGCTTCTGAGGGCCATGCCAGCATAGTAGAGGTTTTACTTAAGGTATGTGTTCTCTTTTTGCACTTTGCTTTTAAAAGGCTTTAGAGTTTTATAAGAAGGAGAGGGAACTAGTTTTTGTTAAATGCATACTTAGTATTTTATCTATAGTATTTCATTTTTTGTGTGTATAAGCCCATTAAATGAAAATTATCTTACAGCTTTCATTTCATGAGAGACAAAACTTTCTTTAGGTATAGTCTTAGTTAAGTCAACTAATTTATTTCTTGGACCTTGGTCTATCTTATGGTGAGGGACTACAGCGTTTTTTTCTTTTTTCTTTTCTTTTTTTTTTTGAGACAGAGTCTCTGTCACCCAGGCTGGAGTGCAGTGGCACCATCTCGGCTCACTGCAACCTCCACCTCCCGGGTTCAAAGATTTTCCTGCCTCAGCCTCCTGAGTAGCTGGGACTACAGGCACGCACCACCCGCCTGGCTAATTTTTGTATTTTTCGTAGAGATGGAGTTTCACCATGTTGGTCAGGTTGGTCTCTAACTCCTGACCTCAAGTGATCTGCCTGCCTCGGCCTCCCAAAGTGCTGGGATTATAGGGGTGAGCCACCACGCCCAGTCCAGTACAAAAATTATTAATGAGATGTATTACATTCTATTTTTTTGGTATGTTTTTCAATTTCAATGTGTGGTTTTTTTTTTTTTTTTTTTTTTGGATGAAGTCTTGCTCTTGTTCCCCCAGGCTGGAGTGCAATGGCGCAATCTTGGCTCACTGAAACCTCTGCCTGCCAGGTTCAAGTGATTCTCCTGCCTCAGCCTCCTGAGTAGCTGGGACTACAGGCAGGCACCACCACGCCTAGCTAATTTTTGTATTTTTAGTAGAGATGGGATTTCACCATATTGGCCAGACTGGTCTCGAACTCCTGACCTTGTAGAAAATTCTGAAACATAGAGTGATAGATGTTCTGCTTGATCCTTCTTATTCTGGCCTCTAGATCAGCCTATCAAAAAGAAATACAATGGAAGCCATAAATGCAAATCACGTATACTGTAATTCTAAATATTCCAGTAGCTACATTTAAAAAGTAATTCTAATTTTATATTTTATTTAACCCAGTATATACAAAGATTATCATTTCAACATGAAATCAGTATAAAAATTATTATTATTATTATTATTATTTTTCTGAGATGGAGTCTAACTTTGTTGCCCAGGCTGGAGTGCAGTGGTATAATCTTGGCTTACTGCAACCTCTGCCTCCCGGGTTCAAGTGGTTCTCCTGCCTCAG